TTTAAGGCCCGGTTCAGACGCCGAACTTTTCAAGAGCCGAACGTAATACATTGAAATAAATACATGAAAAGCTCGACGTCTGAATCAGTTAGGAACGCCTGCTTCAATTTGGAACGGCTACGCCGTTCTTTTCGCCCAGCTCGGCCGGGAATTTCGCCTTTGGGTGAGTGACTTTGGAACGGTTTTGATTCAGACGCCGAACTTATTATGTACCGAACCTAATGGATAAATTGTTATAACGTATTTTGTAAGCAGTTTGAACGAAATGAGCATTTTTCGCCCTTTGAACTTAGTTCGGCTGCAATTAAGATCGGCGTCTGAATCAATTTAGCCGGTCTTAATAATTTGGGTCGGCCTTAATTCGAATCAGGTTCGGCTCATGAAAAGTTCGGCGCCTCGACCGTGCTTAAGTTTCCAAATATTTGCCATAAAACATGCAGCGACAGGAGAAGCTGTAAAGGTAGTTCCCGTCGATTCTTGATTGCACAAAAATGTCCGACTAACAAGTCAGTACTGATTTGCTTAAACCGAAAGGAATTTATTTTACTACGGCTTCTAAGGAATGTATATTAATCCTTTTAAACAGATAACTGTCAAGAAATGACCTTTAATTTCACCTTTCTCCACGGTGTCTTTGTCTGTCCCAGTTATCTAGTTGATTTATTACCCTTGCAAGTTAGTGAAAGAACAAACTATAGTACTCCTTACGAACGCCATCTAATTACTCCCTTCTAGTCGCAAGCAGCACTGAACGTTTTAAAAGATCTTTTTTTCTCTCCACTACTATATTGTGGAATGAACTAAGTTTTGACATACGTTGTCTGGTCTTGTGTCAAATTTATTGGTTCTTAAAAAAGCGTTTTTTCCTCTAACAATGTGCCTAGTCATAATTTAACATATGATTTTGCCACTGCTAGATTTAATGCAGTTTTCCATAATCGTTTGCGTTTCATGCTTAATGTTTGCTTAACTATAATTATCTGTTTAAAATGAAATGTACGGAGCCAGAACGCCCCGCATGTTTCAGCTTGTTTTTGTGGTTGACAACGAGACCGGTGGGGATTTTTTGTACAATGTCCACTTCATTCTAGCCTGCGTAGCAGGCGCTTGGAAGTAGCGGGCGAAAGAGAGAACGGGCGCGCGCGAGGGAGACACGCAAGGGGTGAGGGAGCGCCTGCACGGAAGGCCCCCGAAAATCGTTTCAACTCGCACTCTGTGAGTGCGGATATTTCCAATTGGTCGAGAGGTTCCCGAGGGAAAAATTAACCGCGCGGGGCGAGAAAACGGTCAATCAATAGTACATGGACAACGTAGTGAAGATCTTGCATTACACCACTGGGTCCTGAAACCACTAAGTTGTATACAATCGAAGTTCAGGTCTCGGAGGTCACTTCATTCTGGTTTAATGGGACTATGTGGCTGTAATCTCAAAGAAAAGTTGGAGTGTTCAAACGGTATTCACGATGGAAAGAATTGACATCGGATACGCATCAACAGAAGTGGCAAGAGACAAAAGATTTGTCGAATCGTTGCAATGAAGATCAGAGGAAATATTCTTTGCTCAGGAGAACTTGGCGGCTTGTGCTGTCGAGGGAACGCATACCATCAAAACTTGGACATGATTGATGAAATGAAACACTTACCAGGGGCATGAATTTGGAAAAAACATTTCACTATTGTATTATTCGCCGTTCGGAGGCGACCTGAGGTCTGTTGTTTATGTCCCATTACTGCAGTAGAAAACATGCATGTCGGTACAGTTTGTGTTCTGAGGTTTAGGTCCGCTTAGTAAGACATGTCTGCTCCAAAAACGGCTGCCAGTTAGCGCAGTAAAAGCAATATGGTCATTTTCCACGTACACTGTGATCGCTGATGTCTGACCAGAACAATATTTTTAGTTTTTATAATACACAGCATGCATTCTTTAAAAGATACCCAGTTTTTACTTTGTTATTTCCTATTTATTGTGCCCATGTTAAAAAACGATTTAAAGCTGTGTGTTAACCATCCGTTTATTGCTCCATCGCTCTATAATCAGATAACCCAGCTGATCTTTATAACAGATTAGACCGAAGATAAAATGCACAACGCTTTTTGGCGGCACGCTTTGTTTGTGTGAGGTCAGTCGTTTTCTGTCAAAACTTTTGACAGATCACGCAACGGCTGCCAAGTAATTAGAGAGGGGGCGGGAAACGATTTTCGGGGGCCTTCCGTGCAGGCGCTTCCTCTCCCCTCGCGTGTCTCCTTCTCGCGCGCCCGTTTTTTCTTGTACCCACTACTTCCAAGCGCCTGCTACGCAGGCTAACTTCATTCTGCCCCTAGAAACCTAGAACTAATCTGCTCTCCTCTGCTGCTCGCATATTTGCTGACGGGTGGTTTTCTCTTAAAGCACAAATTTTATCAGTTTTTAGTTCTCTGTTTGGATCACCGTTACTGTCCCGGAGCAAACTAATGATTTATGTTTTCATGTCCAGTCTTTTATATCTTAATCGAAAAAATTTCATAAAAATACCATCTTCTTTGTCTTGCTGCCGCTTTTGACTTATTATTCGGATTACTATTAATATAATTTATTTAATTGTCACCGTGATCCCTGTCGATGAGTTTTTGTTACACTTGGGGCAAACTTCGCCAGTAAAATATGTTTAAAAATAATAATAATTAAAAAGAAACAGAGAAACAAAAAAGTAATGAGTGACATATTAGTACAACTTTGAAATGTAAATACAGTCATGACTGCACGAAGTCTTATTATTCAATCGGTTATCCAATCCGTGCTCAATCACCAAAGGCTAAGTTGTTGACATGAAATAGAAAATGATAATAAAAGCTTAGTTTAAGCCTAAGCCTTTTTTGACGTTTTCAGATGACAAGCGACGTAACATGCTTGGAAACGTATAGAAATATAAAAACTGTACACTTTAGTGTAACCTGAATTAACTTAATTTGCAGGGATTTCTAGACTTTACCAACACTCGTATCTTACCGAAGACTCGCCTCGCACTAAGCTGAGATCAGCATCTACTTTCATACATTTTGCTTGGTAAATAGATTTCCGGCGGGCAGGGAGAATGGAAAAGTCTCGCATTTAGTACAGTACATGTATATCTGAATTCGTGTGTGTTCGATTCGATCAAATATTGTTGCATCACTTGCATGTGTATTCACGTGATTACGGGGACATTAGATGGAACACCAGGGCCTTCGTGACCACATACCATGCATAATATACTACGTAGAACAAACGGGAATCCCAAGAATGTGGACAGATTGTAGGAAAACCTCGCTATATAGTTTATAGATTGCTCCTAACCACCCCACCAAGAATACTACTTCTTCGAGCTCGCTTTTGCTCGCCCGCAATGATTAGAAGACTTCTTTTGGAGGATATGTGTAAGAGGAACTAGTTTTCAATGGAAGGTATATAAAAAGGGTACCTTCTCTGTCAAAAATGGTATATTAAAAGGTAAACTAAGGGTTGGGTCTCAGGGTGGAGCCTCCTCCCCATTCACCTCAAGGATCAGGCCAGAGACGAGGGCTTCTTTTCCTCTCAACCCAGTTCCCCTTCATTCTTCCCTTACCCTCCCGCCCCTTTCGACGCCTACCTCGTAGGCTACAGTCAATTAAAACTGCGGGCCCTAACCCCAGGCTATAGCGAGGTATTTAACTTAATAATGACCTGGAGCGGGTGTTAAAACACCACTAATTTCCTCGCCCTCGGGGTTAAGTGGTAACCTACGTACTGAAACAGGGAAAGGGGAATGGGGAATCGGACATAGGAAATTGAAAAATGGAAAGTAGTGGCCAGCGTTCATACCAAATCAAACCGATTTATTTGTCCATTATAAATTACATTTTTACAACTTCTAATAACTTGTTATCTGCTATTACAATGCAACATGATAGCAGGCGACCTTAGCAAGCTCTATTGAGCTCTAGGAAGATCCCCTTGGTAGAATTAAGTCTAGTGAAAATAGCAGATGGATATCAAATCTAACAATAATAACAATGAGGAATTTGTAAGAAAATATTACCTATTTGTTAATTAATAAACAACAACAGCAACTTTTTTTGCATTCCCATTTACATAGATGGTATTGCATAGAAGAAAAATAAAGGATAATAACAGAAAAATACAGCAATGAATTACAAAATCAATAATAAATAATAATTAGTTACAACATCCTGACTCTTGTTTCCTTTTCTTGAAAGATTCGAAAACAAAATAACCGATTTTTTTACAAGTAAAATGGTCTACGTTATTAAAAAGGAATAATATTTTATCTTGTTTTTTTAGAGTATGAAAGATGGGATATTTCGAAATTATATCATTAAAAAACGTTTTTCTTATACACAAATAAGAATCACAGTAATGTAACAAAAATTTAAAAATCAAAAATCGGTAGTTCTTGTTAAAACGGCGAAACGGTAAACAGCGTAACGAGGTTTATATTCCTAAATTATTATTATTTTCTTCTAATGAATTAATTTTAGCACCTGCCTTTCTTAAGTTGAATTAATGTAAAAAATATATATTGTTTATGGTAATCAGAAGCCCATCTGAGCTTCTGCGGTAACAAAGACCCTCGCGCAGACTCCTCGATAAAATAAAATGCCCATCAATAAAAGCTGTTTGCATTTCTGATAGATGTACAGATTGAAAACAATTTTTGACAGTTATTTTGAAAGTTATGGAAGTTCTGAAAGTTAAGAAAAAGGAAACTAAACAGTCGCAAAACATCAGCACTGGAAAAGAAGTCAGAGGGGATTCCGCGTCGGTCATCCATCCAAAACTAACCGCGTCCGACAGGGCTTAACTTCGTGGAACGGTTATAACGTAAATCCAAAATAGTTAGGGAGGAGTTTGCCGTGAGGACTTGAGAAAGAGAAGAAGCACCGGCACCGCCAATACGGTTACCACGTAAATCCAAAATAGTCAGGGAGGAGTTTGCTGTGAGGGCTTGAGAAAGAGAAGAAACACCGGCGTCGCCAAGACGGTTCTAACGTAAATCCAAACCAGTCAGGGAGGAGTTTGCTGTGAGGGCTTGAGAAAGAGAAAAAGCACCGGCGTCGCTAATACTGTTCAAACCTAAATCCAAACTAGTCAGGGAGGAGTTTGCTGTGAGGGCTTGAGAAAGAGAAAAAGCACCGGCGTCGCCAATACTGTTTAAACCTAAATCCAAACTAGTCAGGGAGGAGTTTGCTGTGAGGGCTTGAGAAAGAGAAAAAGCACCGGCGTCGCCAATACTGTTTAAATTTAAATCCAAACTACACAGGGAGGAGTTTGCTGTGAGGGCTTGAAAAAGAGAAGAAGCACCGGCGTCGCCAATACTGTTATGACCTAAAATCAAACTAGTCAGGGGGGAGTTTGCTGTGAGGGCTTGAGAAAGAGCAGAGACACCGGCGTCGCCAATAATGTTACCACCTAAATCCAAACTAGTCAGGGAGGAGTTTGCTGTGAGGGCTTGAGAAAGAGAACAAGCACCGGCCTGGCCAATAATACTGTTACCACCTAAATTCAAACTAGTCAGGGAGGAGTTTGCTGTGAGGGCTTGAGAAAGAGAAGAAACACCGGCGTAGCCAATACTGTTACCACCTAAATCCAAACTGGTCAGAGATGAGTTTGCTGTGAGGGCTTGAGAAAGAGAAGAAACACCGGCGTCGCCAATACTGTTACCACCTAAATCCAAACTAGTCAGGGAGGAGTTTGCTGTGAGGGCTTGAGAAAGAGAAGAAGCACCGGCGTCGCCAATACTGTTTAAAACTAAATCCAAACTAGTCAGGGAGGAGTTTGCTGTGAGGGCTTGAGAAAGAGAAGAAGCACCGGCGTCGCCAATACTGTTACCACCTAAATTCAAACTAGTCAGGGAGGAGTTTGCTGTGAGGGCTTGAGAAAGAGAAGAAGCACCGGCGCTACCAATACTGTTAGAAATTAAAACCAAACTAGTCACGGAGGAGTTTACTGTGAGGGCCATAGAGATCGCAGCAGCACCAGCATCGTGTATCCCTGTTTCGCCAAAATTCACCTTAGTCAGGGACGACATGTCAAAGTGCTTACCTAAACTAGAAACTAGGCGAGTTTCAAGGCTGTCCTGGACACTTGAACATTCCAACAAACTCTCACAAGCTAAACTCATATATGATTTACTGTCTTGGGCAGAGCTGATTTTTTTAGCAATAACAATAAAGAACGACATTGCAGTTTCCTCACTCCGTGAGGCTATGATACCACTCATGAACAAAAGGACCTGTCTCAGTTTATCCAAGTATCTCTTATCATCTATAACTGAGGTAAAGTCTCTTTCTTTGCTGATAACCTGAAACGCAAGGAAAAAGCCAGCAAAAAACTCCTGAAAGCTTTTGTGTAAAAATGCACAGCGCGTGCAAGGTTTGCGCTTGGTGCCACCTTGTTGAAAAGACAAGAATCCAAAATTGATAAGTTTGACGGTATCTTCGTCCTTTACAAAGTACGACTCTCCTTCGAGGAGGGATTCTAACGCGAAGCTGCCCAAAAGCAACAGTTCTTCCATATAACCTGAAATCAAGTCTTTATTGCTGCTTTTAAGTCTGTTTTTTTCTTCATATCTTCTCAACACAAAGACAACGATTTCAACGTACAACTCAGTCCTGCTTCTTGGAAGAACACCTTCGAAGTCCTCGAAAAGACAGCAGAGTAGAGCTGTATTGAGTGGATTCTTTGTTAACTCGCCTAGCGTTTCAAGTGGATGACCAGTAGTCAAAAAAGAATAGTTTGAACGTAAGATTCGTTTAATCAGCTCCTTAGCCAAGTGTTCCTTGCCTTTAAAATACTTTCGGATAAAACTTTCCGCATCCTCTTTAGTAAATCCTACAATCTCCCACAGGGTGTCACAGTATGGCCTTACTTTCTTTCCGACCTCATGTCGAGATGTAATGACAATGTGACAGCCTGGGAGGAGTTTACTCTGAACGAGCGAGTAGTAAATGTCCAGTTTAAAGGAATCTGCCTCATCTAATGCATCAAGCAGTAGCAAACATTTGGCCTGATTTTCTTGGATGTATTTGAAAAAATTCTCCTTAGCCTGTTCGTCAATATCATCAGGAAGAAGTTGGTCGTCAATAGCTTCCCAGATGCCAGATTTAACATCGTTGCATCTAAGCAAGAGCAGCACTTCAATTGATGGAAAAGACGTGTCCCATTCATCCTGTTTATTTGCCCAGTCATACGCCAGTTTTTGTGAGTAGGTGGTTTTCCCATGCCAGGTTCTCCTTCGATCAAAAGAATCCGTGGTTTCGGGCAATCAGGGTGAGGTCTAAAGATAGCAGTCATGTTGGTGATTTCATCATCCGTCAATGTTCCTCGTGTTTTTTCTTTGTTCACGATCTTCAGTCGGGTGAAAATCTCATTCAGGTTGAAATTAAGATCATCACACCATGGAAATGGTACCAGCCGTCCTTCACGACGTTTGTAAAGCTGACGAATCCTTTCTGTGATACTTGGCACCACTAGGAAATACAAATAAGATCGATTTGGTTTTATTATACTGTCATACAAGCTGTTCAAGCTCTGTATATCGTCTACGATACGCTTTTATGCTTTTGTAACCTTGCAAAACGAACGAGTTAAACATCGATATAGCCGACCTTTTTGGGATACCTATAATGATTCTCAATCCTAATTAAGAAGAAGCATGAATTATGTGAAGAAATATTTACAAAAACCCAACATAGGTTTGTCTTTGCGTCTTTTAATTATGTAATTTGCACTTAACAGACCCTTCCACGATTTTAAGTAACAGTTATCCATCGACACCAGACTACTGGATAGCGCCTTAAAACTTACCTTGTTTAAAACTTACCTAGTTTAAAGTTCAGAGCGAGCGAAGATATTCTTGAAACGTGACAAAGCCCGGAAATTTTACAGACTTTTGTATGTTATGGGGGGGATAATGAACTTGCTCTCTTCCATAGGAACGTCTGTAAAACTTCGCGTATTTTCGGAGCTATATCTTGGTTAGTTTTCACCAATTCACTCTTTAACTTAGCAACTTAAGAAGTGATTTTAAGGTCTTCTCTCCAGCCTAATGATCCGAATCAAAACTGTTAAAATACGTGGGAAGGTCCATTTTTTTTATGTTGAAATGGCTTGTGGTCGGCTCATTTTCTTTTGGCCTAGACTGCCAAACAGTATTTTTCTTTGAGAAAATTAAACGCTGTTCGTGAGACACAGAGCGCCGTGGACGACGTGTGTCGCACGCGAGCCCCACACGCAAATTAGTCACTCTCTCCAGTATCAATCTCCGTTTTCAGTCTCTGTTTGATGAGTGAATGTACTCCTAAAAAACGCAAATCAAAGCTGTTTTGCGTTTGTAGTTTCCTCTAAGAAAAGGAAGCTTTATTAAAGCAGAAAACTTTACCATACCTCACAATTTGGAACAGTTTAGGGGTATTGCTGTTGGTCGCTTCAAAAGCTGTACTAATATAATGCGAACCACAAACTGACTATAGACTTATAAAGTGTCACAATTTGAGCGCATTGTTAGAAAAAGATACCTGCTAGATGCTGCCGGGTTATGGATTCGTTTTGCTGAAATAAGTGGCCAGAATACATTCCCCTTTTGGTTTGCCTTGAGATCTGGTCATCGCACAAAGCACCTGTTGAAGAAGATCGTTGATTGAGATGCGGGCCACACCATGTATATCTATTTCAGTTAACCTCGTCGTACTTCAAGGTCTCATGAGTACTCCACAAGACTGCAAGGTCATGAGAGTAGCTGCATGTGAATTCGTTTCAATTTGGTCATACATTCGCGGCTGACAGTGCCACAGAATGTTATGAAACGGCACAAACGGTTACCTTCTTCAGAATTTGGTAATTTTTATATGGAATTACCCATATTGATTTGCGATCTCATCGCAAAGACTTTCTTACTGCAACGTTAATCAAAATAGCTGTCGGCCGACAACAGCATCTTTGACTTTGAGTTGGGTGGATTTACTAGCACATTTTCCTTAACAGACTGTGATTCGGTACAAAAGAATGAACTGACTTCGTCAACTCTGTCAGGGGCATGTGCGGAGCTGTACGCGTCTCATGATGAATGTTTTGCTCATTTCGCCCCATATAAGGTAATCCAAGAAAGTCTTCGATTCTGGATTCCACGCTGTGGATTCTGGACTCCATATACTGGATTCTGGATTCCTTGTCAGTTGAACTTGGATTACGGATTTTAATTGCTGCGGGATTCCGGATTTCTGGGCTGAGATCCGGATTCCAAGAGTTGAATTCCAGATTCCAAAGCCCAAAATTCCGGATTCCACGAGCAAAAGACTTCCCGGATTGCATTGGTGGGGCGATTCATTGAAACCAAACTGAAGCAAAGAGTGGAATAGGTCAGCTTTAAATAAAGAAGAACATTTTAAAAATTGAATGTTTATATATTACCTGCATGGTTCTCAGTTAGCTTCCGCTTCCTAGCACTATCGTGCTGAGCCTCAAAGAGACCATCCACTGAAAGAATCAGGCAAAAACAACATTAGCGTTTTGTGTCTCACTCTCAGTCGATACGCAATTTATAGCTATGGAAAGAATGTGTAATCTGAATTTTTGACCAGAAACGACACCAAATTCGGCCTGTAACTTCTGCGCCTAATCATCACACACCAAACTGACAAGAATTTATAATATACCTGAGTGATGAGGCCAAGTGCGAAAAACACTAGGATCACTTAAAATGTGTGAGACAAGAGATGCTGCCATCACACTAGCACAGACTTCCCATCTCTCTGCATTCACTTGCTCACCATCCGCAAAATCAGCTATCCCTTTAACAATGAGCCACTCGAGTTGAGAATCAAATGCAGCCGTGAAAACACCTGAAATAAGGAATACAATTAGGAAGTATTCTTTTAAGGAAATCAAGTTTTTTGGATTAAAGAAACTAAAAAATTAATTGCCTTGCGCATAGACGCATGTGTAATTCTTTACTTTCCAATAATTTTTGACAGATAAACTTTCACAAAAATGTCTTTCTAATTACAAACTGGACGTTAACTGACCAGAGACAAGAAAACACCATCAAGGTATGCCAGACCTCAACAACAGCTAAGTACGACAGATTATGATTTTCACGCCGTTTCTTTTGATTTGCTGACAGCAATTTTCTTACAATGAACACGTTTCATTCAATTACTTTATTGTATAAGTGAAAAAGTTCATTTCACATTCCGTTGGCGTTCCGTTAAGTTAAGTTTGCAGCTGTAAAGTTCTGCATCTTCATCGAAAGCTGTTTGTGTCCTACGTATTCAGACGATCCCAGATCAGATTTTAATACCACAGACATATGTTCCCATTTATTTTAGCGATGACATGTATGCTTCTTATTTAATTTTACTCTATAATTATTGCGCGAAAATGACGCCAAGAGTGCACCAGTTATTGCAGTCAAGTGTGTAAACACCTAATACCTTAAGACTTAAAGTAATTACCACGTAAGTATTCAAAATAAATCTTTTCGTCGCTCTTTCAATAGCCTGCGTGGCAGGCGCCAGATAGTTTTTTTTGGTCCGCTTTTTAGAGAGCGCAAGCAAAACACGCGAAGGGGAGAGGAGGCCTCCTCACCTTTTCTCCCGTCGTGCGCGCGTATCCTCCCTTCGTTCTTTCGTTACAAAAAAACTGGCCTTTGCAAACACTCTTTCAAACACTTTTAGTAATACATGTATCCCAAAACAGATGTCGAAAAACTTACCTGCTGAGACTGCAAAGTAGTACGGCTAATAGTCCTTTTTCGAATTAAAAATTACCGCTGAATACAAACATTAATGACACATTCATACAGCGTTAGCCTCGACATAAAGTAAAATATTCACAAATTTCGGCAAGTAAGTGTTTGAAATCTGAGAATACACAATAAACAGAGTAAAAAACAGCGGAATTTGTGAATACATTTACTTTTAGTGGAGGCTAAGCCTGTAAAAAATGCGTCTTCACTTCTTTATTCAGCGCTCATATCGAATTCGAAACTGGACTCTAGTGTATTTCATAAATATTTACCAATCCCAGCCGTGAAGTTAAACGTTTGTGACGTTTTAAAGCATTCTATGGTACTGTTAACTGCACCTTTATGACCTCTTGAAGGATCTACAGCTACCCACATAACCTTGCGTCCTTGCGACGTAGGCTTTAAGCCTTTATACGACAACGTAAATTGAAATAGCTGCATGTATAAGAACGCTATTGTTCACAGCTAATGTGACATGCACTCACCTTCTCCTTCCATCTCTACTCCTGCCACGAGGGGGTGACGGTCGACAAGTTCCTTTCGGCGCCATTGAGCTCTGATCTGCTCTGGGCCACTTAGGAACTCGCCATTGCAGTGAACTTTGACCTGACGATCTTCTGGGTTTTTTAAAGGTGCCTGCCATCCATCAGCGCAGTTCGAGATTATTTTTGAGAAAAGCCTACTCACATGACTACTCATGCCAGCTGACTGCTCTTGGTCGCTTGTCACCACTTTGGATGCATATGTTGTTAGTTTGGCTGATACAACAACGTCCCCTAACTTAGTTTTGTCAGGATTGAGACCACAGCATGCCCCAACAGATATTACGGCCTTGGGTTGTAAAAGAAGGGCGGCATTCTTGACAGCAATCAGAGAGCTGCTTGGGCCAACAGAACCTTTATTACATCTTAGCAGAGCAACTTTTACTTTCTCTTCATGACTTTGAACGTTGTTGAAGTAAACGAAACCAACATCCTTGTAATAATATCTGTAAGGATCTTTTAGCTCATTGTAACAGGATAAGAACTCACAGTCCTTAACAGTTAACAGTAGAACATCAGCGGGTAGATCTGGCTGTTTCATTGTTGTTGTAACATCTTTTATGGATGGAAGACCAACAGCCAGCTGTGGTGGGCCAGCATTGCTGTCCTTTAAATTACAGCTACACGCCTTCTTTGAAGCTTCTGACATGTCAGTTTTCGGCTAAATTGCACTGGAGACATAAAACGAAAAAGTATAACACAATTTAGCCTTACACTATACACCCATTTTTATAACAAAGTTTTCCTAAGAAAGTGGAAGTAAAAAATTATGAGCGTACATGTTTTAAGAACATTACTTACTCAGGCTAGGGTTTACATAGGATCATTTTGTATCACCTTGGTAAAACAAGCAGTGTACAGGAATTATCCTACAGTACGCGGAGTAGCCGTTTTAAACTTAAAACTGTACAAGAACTACAGTTAAGTCACAGTTGGAATCGCATGCTGTATATAGAGATTACGCTAATGAATATTCCCTTGCTCTACATCAAGCAAAGATGGAAGCTAATAAGACCTCTCAGTCCTTGCTAAGCCTTGGCTAAATAAATCGACATGTGATGCAACCTCATGATACAGCAAGAAAGGAGCCTCTGTCAGCACATGAGCTTTTTCTCAGTGAACGGTGAAAGCGACACACACAAAAAAACGGTGCCTTGTTTCTGCTAGCCTTGTGCAATGGTAAACATTTCAAAGGCAAGGAAAAGGGAGAATTGGCTTCGTCAAAATGTAAAGAGTGTGGATGCCCTTCATTTGTTGTCTCGCCCACAATCTTTATTTTCTATCTCCCTTTCAGATGCCAGACACGCGGGCTATGTGTTTGTCTGGTTTAGAAACATGATGCCCACTGCATTCAGTCTAGGTTTTTATTGCTGCAAAAGGAAGCTAAAACTAGACAATGAAAAGCAATGAAAAATATACTTAAATTGAAAACAAGAACATTCCAGCTTCTTATGTCAGGGTTGCATGACTTCAATAGGAATTAGTTATTTGGTCATTTCTTTTGCCCTTTAATGAGCCACGCCAGAGTCCACAGAAGTACACCACACAGAACATGACATGATACTTTTAAACTAATTAAGCTTTTTCAAATGACATTGTGCACTCTCTTGAAGAGCCTTACAGTGTATTAAATTTCTGTTTTCAACCTCAACAGTCTATTAGAACATAGCTGTCTCTTAAAACCCAAGAAACAGGTCTTCCTTAGGCAGGGGGTCAGGGGAGCGCAGATAGTATAATGATTTTCAAGACTGAGTAGCTCTTTTTTTTCTGCAATGGAAAGAAAGGAGGATAAAAATAAGGAGAACACACTTGTCAATCAAGCAAAGTCATGCAAAATGCAAATTGCACAATCTGGGCTGGACAAAGAATCAGTGCAGCATCATTCACAGCTGACAAACGCCCAGCCAAACATTTTGTTTGTGTCCCTTCCTCTTATCTACCAAGCAAAAATAATACTTATTTACTAGGATTTCTGTAGTTTTTGAAAAGTAATTTCATGATCTCCATGATGAAGGATGAAGATTTAACCGAAAGCATACAAAAGGGATTGCAATGAGATGCAGAGGGCAGGGGCTAATTACATGGAATAAACGATCATTATCAACTGACAAAAGTACAAGATGTAGAAGAATAAAGGTACAATTCCAACGATAAATACAATTCTTCTTCTTCTTCTTCTTCTTCTTCTTCTTATTATTATTATTACTATTATTATTATTATTATTATTATTATTATTAGATTAATTATTAAATACAATAGTTTTTTTATTATCACAAAGATACACAAAGATATGAAAAAGTTTGACTCTAGAACAAATATCAATAATAATATAACCAAGTCTAAGTTTAATTTAATTAAATTACTTTAACTACTATAAACTATTGCAAGCCAGGTAGAGATTTTTTTCATATTGTTTTAAATAGAAATCAAACCCTTACTTGAAGCTAACATAAGCGCAAGTCAGGTGATTGATTGGTATTGTTTTAAATATAAATACCAGTTGAGAGGTTTATTGACATGTACATCAAGAATCAACACATAAGGGTACAAATGGTATAAATTTACATTATGATTGGAAATTACAATCTGTAATTAATAAGTTTTTGTTTAACGGCAAGTGAATTGTCCAGTGAGAGAGGTATATGGTTTTAATATGGTTTGTATTATAGAAGCACCAATAAATTATCTATGGCCTTTGTGCAGACTTAAGTTTTCGGGATTATTATATACATCAGCTAACTGAAGAACACAGGCCACTGCAATTATTAGTCATTTTTTAGAGTTTAAATCTTTTGTCTACTCATGTTACAGTACAGTACAGTATCTTTATTAAATGTCCACTATGTGGCTCTTCCGATTCAATTTACAAAATGGAAAGAAGAAAGAAGTAGGAGAAAAAGACTTATTTACAAATCTAATTATTAAAAATAAAAGGGAAAAATAGGAATAAAATTAACTTAAGAAATAGCTAAGATAATATATCGTATAGACTATATGCATATACATTACTTATTATTGACCTTAAAATACTCCATTTATGACATATAAAAACTGTTTTAGACATGCAATCAGTCACCTAGTTCTCGGTGTGACATAGCTCCAATTTGGCACCGTGCTTAAAACAGTGAGCTTTTATTTCTTGTGCTTGCGCTTAGCGAGTTCCAAGTGTTGATAGATCGATAGTGAAAGGAATGTTGTGCAGTGGCTGTCCTGCACATAGGAACGTCTAGATTTTCCCTTAATCTGGTATTATAACTATGGATTCCTGTTCTTTTATTGAAGTAGCTATTTAGGTAGGAGGGCGCAAGTCCAATCACTAGTTTGTACAACTGTGTGACATCGCGCACTAACAGCAGATGTTTAATAGAGGACCAACCCAGTTCCCGCAGGACTGACGAGATATGGTCGAACTTCCTAGTATTAGTTAAAACTCGAGCAGCAAAATTTTGTACAAGTTGCCGTTTATGAATGTCCCGCTTAAAAGTGCCAGACCATACAGCAGAACAACAAAAGAGCTTACTAAAAACCAAGCAATTCAAAATGGTGAAAAGTACGGATTTGGAAAATAGATGCCTAACTTTGCTTATCTGACACAGAGTAGAGATAAGGGACAAAGTCAATGTATTTTCATGTTCATTAAATGTAAGGTCCGAGTCTAGCATGATACCCAGATCTTTGACTATGGGTACGGGAGCTACGTTTTGGCCAAGAAAGGAACTCTGACATCTGAAATTTTACTTAATAGCTGTCGCATTCCAAACAAAATAAGTTTGGTTTTACTAGGATTGATGAGTAGCTGATCAGTACATCACCAGGCGGCGATGAGACGAAGATCTTCGGTGACTTTAGTCGGGCAGGAGTCAATGTCCTTGGATGAGAACGAAAGGTAAACCTTGATATCATCGACATATGACTTGACACTTGAAAATTTTACAACGGTATGTTTAATTCAAGTGCTGGAAGTTCAAATTTGTTTTTGTTCTTCAGCTGCATGACCTTTTCTTTCTGTGAACTGTACATTCTTTATGAAGAATAATAATGCCATCTTCTCTTTGTTTTGAAAAGCAGTGGGGAACCCCGTTTCACCACTAAATTAAATTAGCCCCCTTTTCTATTAGCCCCACCCAGAGTCAGAGTTTGTTTATAAGCTTTGGGCCAGGAAGACACGAAAGGAATTTCACAGTTGAAAATTTTAGTTTACACAATTTATATGTTGAACAATAAAACAAACTGAATTAAGGTAATTCCCTTGTTTTGCACTGCGCAGCCTCTACTGCACATAATATGGCGACATCCAAGATGGCGGCGGTTCTTCCCACTAGCGCGAAAAGAACAAATAAGGACCACTTTTGCAGAGCCAAAGCTTATATTCGCAATAATAACGCCGCAGATCGACTGACAGCTTCCTGGTTTTCTGTCGAAAAACAAGAAAATGAAAGAAATGTGCGTGATCCCGAAGTCTGCAGTGGTTTTCACTTCGCGGCCGTCGAGTTGTGGAATTATTAAAATGTCCTGGCCGAGGCTTTGGATTATGGGGGCTGTGAAGCTTGTGGGACAGTTCTACGGCTCTCCAACTGCATTAACGAGCCAGAGTATCCGGCCTGGGATCGCTACTGTACATATGTTGTTCAAACTCCGAGAGGGGAGAGAAGAATATTTCGGGAACAAACGTGACCCACCCACCATAGCACCAGAACCACGCGGGGGAGACCAGTCTGTGATCTAAACACGAAGTTTGCTACTTAATTCACATTTTGCTGTGTATAGAAACCAAACAAGCGAACATATGAAGAATAGGAATCAATAGTCTTTTCTTCAAGTTTCTTTGTCAAGCATTATTGTGCAAAAGCAAAAAAATCAAGCCCTAGCTCACTGGAATTAAACCGAACGCTGGCGCTACAAAATAGTCCAAAATAGAGATTCATAACTGCAAAATCTCATCAAATCTTTACTTACCTCATTCCTTAGTATTTATTGTACTCTTTTCAAGTTTGAATTTCTGTGTTGGCGATATCAATCACATAAAAACAACCGAAAACAAGCTTGATCTCGAGTGCATACTTCGAACACGATGGACGTTATTTTGTATCTCGCCCCAGTCCCCGCCGCGCAAATTATCCATCGTGACTGCGATTTCAAAACCATGTCCACCTTTCACAGCAGTTTGTGAGGAAACAAGCGCAGTGACCCCCGATTTTTTTCCCAGGTATTTGCTAAGAACAGTCTAATAAAGAACATGTCTGAAGAAGAAAATGATTTTTTTGGAAAAATAGTTTCGTATTTGGTGTATTTGGGTCAAGGCGAGGACTTCAAGCTAACCACGGAACTGTCCGAAAAAGTGCAATATCCCCACAACCAGGCAATCAAAAAAGAATTAAATGAAGCAATACTGTTTTTTTGAATGAAAGAAGCTTTATGTTCAAAATAAAATTTCGTGTGTTTCAAGTAACAAAGACTTAATTTTGTAAGAAGGGGATTCGAATTTTTAACCCGCAACCAGCAAAAATACCCCAGTTTAAGAGCCTGCTGACGCGTAAACAAGCACGGTGACCCCATCTTTTTATTGCATTTTTTTAATGTTCATATCATGAATGTTGATTATGCCAAGTTTAAAAAAAGGTTTTAGAGTAGAACAATTTCTATGGAAT